ATAAGCTATTATATTTATTTATATATTTTAATATTGATACTACTTCTGTATTTTTTCCTTTTATTATTTACAAACTAGCAAATGCCAATGAAATTAATTTTCAATTAATACTTATGATCTTTAACGAAAATATTGCAAGAATGATATTTCTTAAGAGAGTTTCATGTTGAAGGTAAAGTTGCACAGATTAAAGTCACCATTAAATTATAGAACAGATTGTTATTTTGGATAATTATCATTTAATCTCTATATTAGTGGGACTCAATATAAATATATTTATTCTAAAAGAGATCATGTCTAAAACCTAAACTTATTGATATATTAGAGATTAATTAAATTTTCTGTAATTTATGAAAAATAATTATCTATAATTTCAAATCTCCAACTGGACTTTTAGTTTTAGTATTTTGGAATAATAAAATCTGATGATATAAGAATTTAAATTTTAATAAAATGAGGTGAATCATTACTGAATGCTTTTTTATTGTGAAATGAGGATGACTTTTCAATTAAATTTTTATATCTTTTTTTTTATCATTAACCTTCAATATTCCCCTAACGCTTAATTCGTATTTTTCTTATCAAGAGTTTATGTTAAATTTTATAGGCTAACTTTCTGGAATTATTGGTTTGTTAAAATTATCCTCTAAAACTTCTGAAATTTTCTAATAGGCCTAATTTTGTATATTAAGGTAGGTGAATCTTCGATGCTAAGTTTCAAATTTATTTCAGAGGTTAATAAATACTTGCGTTCCAAATGCGACAGCAATTATACTAATTATGGAGTGATTAGTCTAACATTTTCATTTCTTATTAGATTGCAAATTAGTTTTTTCTGAGAAATTTGGACCTCACTGCTCCTAAAAATACATCATAAAAATATTAACTAAACTTATAAAATTATAAACAATATATTACTTAATTAAGTATATGATTTACTTATTTACTTGCTATTGTTTCAAACTTAATTCTGATATCATTTTCTTGAAAATATTTCTATTTTCTTACCAAATTTTTGATATTAGAGCTTCATCAAATGAATTCCTTGCTTTTTATAATGTTCTAATACAAATTAAAAAGTCCTAGCAACTATATCAGGTGTATCAAGGACTCCTGCAACCACAGGCTTTGTGCTAACTACTATAATGTTTTTATTTCAGCAACTAAGTAATGGTTTTTTGCG